TTTTCCATGATAAGAATGACAGGAGTGATGACAATGAAAACTACCCAGTCACCCCAGCCGGTCGAGGCAGAAGGCCGCTCACCTTGAGTCGGGGTCTGTCGGAGGTTTCTTCCTATGCAGGTTTCTTCCTGTAAAGCTAAAGGGAGTTTTTCCTCTCCACTGTCGCCAAGTGCTTGCTCAAGGGGGATTTGTTGGGGTTTTCTCTGTACTGATGGTAATAATAAGATCTAGACCTTACTATGTAGTGTACTGAGATGACTTGTTGTGATTTGGTGCTATACAAATGAATTGAATTGTACGGTTAAGTGTACAGGTTGACACCATGTAGAATTACTTTTCCAGCCACAGCTGTTGCCTTTGCAGAGGCATAGAAATGTAAACTACTGTCAAAGAAGCATCAGACTGAAATAAATGTATATTGAAAACCACATGAAACGGAAGCTTGTTTCTGCAGATTGTTTATTGATGGACGGGTCGACGCCGAGGTCAGTGTTTCAGATTCTGAAGTCAAGTTGTTCAGGGTTCTTATCTTCAGCACCAATTATAGTGCACGCTGTTTCACTTTATAAGCTTGTGTCTTTTTCTGATAAGTGACCAAAGTCCCTTCAAAAATCCAGCTGGTTAATTTTGCTTTTATATAAACAAACAACATTCAATATACTGTATAATTCAAGCTGCACTAACTTAAATGTAACTTTGACCTGTATATGAAGTTCCCAAACTCCTTCAAAAAATCTGGTAGTGCATGTCTTTTAGAAACAACTTCTCCTGGCTTTAAGTAGAAAGACCTTGTTACTAAATATAATCTTCAACATCAGGTTCTTGCTGCTTTGTCTAAGATTGATTTTCAGCCACAATGTATGATTGTATTTCCATATAGCCATCATAGACTGATACAGTATGTTAATTTGACCTATCGTGACCAGAGGAAAATTGAGGAGGAACAGATGGGCGTCGGATTTCTGCTTCAGTGTCATGACTATGCTAGACCAGAACCATCAGCCTTGGACATGGCATGTGAAAAATTAGAAGCCCAGCAGTTTGCGAATTTAGCATTTCCATCACACAAGCTTAGTTACTATTAGCTTTCCGGTAGTGTATTACATTATTTTGGTGTACCAGACAGATGCTCGGTGTAAATATCGATAACATTAGCTAGTTAGCTTACGAACTAGCTTAGCTACATCTCCGTTTGTAAGATAACCGATACATAACTCTACCTTCGTAGTCGTGGATGTATGAAGAAGCACATAGCTTAAACCCCTTATCCAGCTTGCTGCCCGGTGTTTTAGACGTCGAACTGCATATTCGGTGGACATCCGTGATCTTCATCTTTGGTAGTTCTTGGAGACATCATGAGTAGAACAGAGCCATATTTCAAACTAGTCGCAAACCGGAAACGGATGATTCTGTTTTGCAGTATACGGAAGTAAGTTGCGCATAACCCCAATAAGGCAAGTAAAAGTGCTGATTCTGCAAATGACCCATTTCAGAAGATCATATAAATTATATTTTACTGTTATTGACGGATTAATCTGTGCAGTAATTTCCCCAGGATCAATAAAGTCTTATTTTACTTTAGAATAATAAGTTGCATTTAATTTGTTGATTATATTATGTAGGCTGTTATTAGTGCAGTAAAAGTGCACTATTTGCATCTGAAATGTAATGGAGTAGAAGAGAAAAGCAGCAGCAGAAAATAGAAATACTCAAGTAAAAAACGAGAACCTCTAAATTTTATATAAGTATACGGTATATTACTTACATAGTCACTTTCATACATAATAACCTTTTTGGCTGTTAGCCAAATACTTTAAGAAGAAAATTGAATACAGGGCTGTTACTTGTACTGTACTCAAGCACAGTAGCCTAGTAAATATACGTATTTAAGTACAAATTCAAAAACTCGAAGAAGAAAGTAATATCAAATATTGATTTTTACATCATTATAAAAAGTCTAGCTTCCGGTTTGGAACACCCGTCTTTTTTATTTTGAAAAATTCCACCCGGAAGCAGTTAAGGCAGTGCTGGTGTCGTACATCCTGATCATTTGACAACATCCACCGTTTTCTGTTGCAGAAAACAAACATGTAATATAGAGGCCTGTGTCCGTCGAAGACTAATTTGTTTTTGCAGCAGACAATATTTTGGTGATATTAAGGAGAACAATTATAAAAAAAAGAAACGCCAGGTTTACTGATGGACATTTTATTGGGGATCTTCGTTGTGCCATTATTTTGCTATTTAGCTTCATCGGTGGACACGAGTATGAGCATGTAGCTAAATACGGGGTTTTCTGTAAAACATTTTCGACTTTTTCATGTGTAATAGTATTGTGTACTCCGAGAGGGAAGTGAGGTCGCACACCCCGCGGGGCTTTATTGTGGGTTTGTTTTCTACTTTGCAACGTTAGCGGGTTTTTTGGTTCAGTTAGTTTGCTAACAAGTCACAGAGATAAGAGTCAACACAGCACATAACGTAACATTACAATGAGTTTTTTTGGTTTTGGACAAAGTGCAGAAATTGATGTTGTCCTGAGTGACGCTGAAACGAGGAAGAAGGCTGAGCACAAGACTGAAGATGGAAAGAAAGACAAATACTTTCTTTTCTATGATGGCGAGACAGTCAGTGGAAAGGTGAATGTCACGCTGAAGAACCCCGGGAAGAGGCTGGAGCACCAGGGCATCAAAATCGAGTTTGTTGGCCAGATAGGTAGGTCAGAAGACTCATAAGCTGAAAGTGGTGCCTCCATATGTCTCGTTTTGTTTGACCAAAATTTCAACTACCCCAAAATAATGATTTTTACAATGCTATATAACTAAAAGACCAAGTAATGATCGCATTTGAGAGGTTGGAATCAGATTATTCGGCATAGTTTCACTATTTTGCTTAAAAAATTAGTGAACAAATCAATACATTGTCAAGATAGATGCGAAGTATTTTAGTTTTTGTTGTGAATGTGGACACTTGAATGTTGCAGCTGGTAAATATAAGTAAAGACATTAAAAAGCACAGTAGGTTATATGCCTCTGAACTGTTGTAGAGCTGAAGTATTAGGTAGCAGGAAATGAATATACTCAGTTAAAGTACCTTTGTAACAGTACTTGGATACTTTTATGGTGCAGTAACAGCCTATCATAAAGCCATTCACTGTATGAGCTGTTAGGAACTGTACAAACATTACTGGGGCAGGAGATATGAATGAGTTAACCTTCTATAGCCTCTGGAGCTAAAATTATTTATTTTTATTCCATGGACCTCCACTCAATTTGACAATTTCATTATTATTTTGCCTAATTGCCTGTTTTACCCAGTGGGTAATTCAGCTTTGGGTGCGAAAGAGGGGTGAATTATATCTCACAGTAAAAACAGTACAGTAAATTATTTGCGCACCTTTAGTTAATGGCAAAGTGAATTCAGTACCTAATCTGTAGTGTTATATTACTTTCAATATTATGGAGAAGCTACTGCAGCTCTTGGGGAAGGATCCAACGACAGCATTAATAACATCCATGTGTTCACAGTGCATCCAGTCTTCCCTAAAACACCCGGTATCATTTTAAAAACCGAGAATGTCTTTTAACAACACTTTTTGAAGGTGTTTACAGAATCCCTACAGACTTTTCTAACAAATCTGGATGAAAAAAATCTTCACATTGCTACATGATAAAAATCATGGACCGGCTTCAGTTGATACAACTGTGTTCGCTGTTCCAGGGAGCCTGAAATGACTCATTGTTATATTTTGTCAAACACAAGCAAAATATTAACCTGTTGTTTTGTATGAAAACATTGGAAAGGTCCCTCACTTGACCAATACAAGTGAATAGTAAATATTTACATTTTGGTCTACTTTGGACCAACTGAGCAGAGGGATACATCATTTCCTGCTACCAACTTGGAAAACAGGTTAAAAGTATTTTTATATGTGCAGGAAACATAGCTAATATTGTGTGTTTATGGTTTTTACAGATATCACCAGTATACAGGAAGTGTTTCAAGCTAACTGGTTGCCTAGCTCTGTGACCTGGTACAGTAATATAAGAGAGGCACAAAGTGGGGTTAGGCCCTCTCCAGCACTGTCTGCATTTTTTGGGGCCTTTGCCTTGACACAGTATCTTATATATTCTATATGCATCTTCCTATGATATGCTGTATGCATCTTCCTATGTACTATATGCACAATTAAGATAAGGAGGGAGCTGCTCCCAAACAGCAAAAATAAAAAATACATAGCCTAACTCTGTCCCTTTTCTTGATAACATCCTCTTTTCTAGAACTGTATTATGACAGAGGAAACCACCATGAGTTTGTTTCCCTGGTGAAAGATCTGGCACGACCGGGTGAAATAACTCAGTCGCAGACTTTCGACTTTGAATTCACTCATGTTGAGAAACCTTACGAGTCCTACACAGGCCAGAATGTCAAGCTAAGGTAAGTCTGATAGGCCGTGAAGTGAACCAGCTGTGAGTGTCACTCTTTAACCTGCCTATTACGCACTCAGCATTGTAACACCTGACCCCGCAGTATACTGTATATCATCATGCCTTCATGTGATAATGTGGGAACAATGCTGTTTTCACTCTCGGTTTGGTCTATTTACAGATATTTTCTTCGTGCTACGGTGGTCAGAAGATTAAATGACATCATTAAAGAGATGGATATTGTGGTCCATACACTGAGCACTTACCCCGAACTCAACTCCTCCATTAAAATGGAAGTTGGAATTGAGGATTGTCTCCACATCGAGTTTGAGTATAACAAGTCCAAGTAAGATTTGTAGGCTGCTACTAATCGGTATATTACATATACTTTTTTTTCCCCCCAAAATTTAAAGCAACAAAACCTTGCACTGGAGAAGCTGGAACCACAGAATGTTTATCATTTTTGTTCAGTAAATGATTTTAACAATAGTCGATTATCAAATTGTCCACTGACTGACTAACTGAACACCTAACAATCTATTACCAAAATAGCTGCAGAATCACTTTCTTTTGATTGTCTAATTGACCAGCTGCAGTGTAGTCAATAATAATCAAATACTCTTCTAAACTACTTGGTATTTACAGCCGCCCTCCGTTATTTGTTTTTTGACAGGTACCATCTGAAAGATGTAATTGTGGGAAAAATCTATTTCCTGCTGGTGAGGATTAAGATTAGGCACATGGAGATTGACATAATCAAGCGTGAGACAACAGGCACCGGCCCAAGTGTATACCATGAAAACGACACAATCGCCAAGTACGAGATCATGGATGGCGCTCCGGTCAGGGGTAAGCAGCACTTACTTCCAACATAAACCATCGTCTTATTCAGTTAAATTAAATATTATTCACCATGTTCCAATATATTTGACATATTTCAGGAGAATCCATTCCCATCCGGTTATTCCTGGCTGGCTATGATCTGACTCCCACCATGCGAGACATCAACAAGAAGTTCTCTGTGCGCTACTACCTGAACCTCGTGCTGATCGATGAGGAGGAGAGACGCTACTTCAAACAGCAGGTGAGCTAATGATACCAAACAGTGCTGAAAAAAAAGGCCTCTCATGGGCTCTGTCAGTGTTTTGACATGGGTTTTAGTAATCTCAACTTTCCTACTTCTGGCAGTAATCTGAGTTTGGAGGCATCCATGTCCATGTAATCCCGACTCTGTGGCCATTTTGAAGCCTGTGGTTTGTACTGTGTTATAACCAGAGCTGTTTCTGTTTTTAGCCTGCTGTCACTTATATAAATATGGTGGTCAGTATAACGCAGTGCAGTGCTGTTCAGCAGCAGCACAAACTGTATCAGAATGCACGAGCTTTACCTGGGCGTGCCAGCTGGTTCTGGTAGAGGTTTCCTAAGTGTATGCATGGTGTTCAGTAGGAAAGTGCAGTAAAGTTGTTGGACAAATAATAGCTGTGTCCCAGTTCTTTTCCACACTAAGTGTAAGCAGCTTTTGACTGTGTGGTTTGGGTGTTGAGCTGCAAAGCATTAAAATACATTTTGGGTGATGTCTGAGCTACAGAAAGACTGGGGCTGAAAAAAAGAGTATTAAATCTTTGGAAGTATTTAACTTTCTCTTTGTGAAATTTAGTTGGCAGTGGCACTTGAATTCAGTGTGCACACTATCATTTCCTTGTGGCATAAAATTCCAGTTTGTTGATATATATATACTGCAAACCCCATATTAGTTCTGAAGCTGTTTTTCTAATAATTGCTTGTCATAAAATAAATCTTCAATGCTGTAGACCATTGATTGATTGTTGAAGTCATTTTCTCAAACAAAAATGCTGAACATCTGCTAGTTTTCTGCTTCCTATATGTGACCATTTGGTTTTAATTTTCTTTCTATCTTAAGAGAAATATCTTAGCTTTTTGAACAGCTTGTTGCTAGCCGTCCCTGGTAGGCTAGTGGCTAAGGTGCAGCGCTCTCACCGTGGCGCCCCGGGTTCGAATCAGGGTTGCATCAGGAAGGGCATCCGGCGTAAAACATGTGCCAAATGTCAACATGCGAGCTGTCAGTGTGACGATTCGCTGTGGCGACCCCTAAATGGGAAAAGCTGAAAGTGACTTTCTTTCTTTTGAATAGCTTGTTGCTCAAGGTGCTTTACAGTATAAATACTATCTAAAATAAAGAACATAAGAAAAAATAAAACAAAATTATGAACGATGCATCCAGTCGTACCAAGCAGAACATGTCACTTCTACTAACCCAAAAACATGTTTTTCTCCTATATATTCCCTAATTCTTTTTTTTTGTTTGTTTGTGGTATGAAATGTTCTCTTTTTATTTTACATATTCAATATGTTTGCTATTTTCTATTTGTTCCTGTTTACCCCTTAAATTTAATTTAAAGACAAAACAATACAGATGTGTTTTAAATAAGATTGCTGGCATGGTCTATACAGTTACGTTAATATTATATACTGCACACTAATATAAAACGCAAAGTCTCCAAACCTCCAAACATGACCTTTTGTCCTCCTACAGGAAATCACCCTGTGGAGGAAAGGTGACGTGGTGAGGAAGAGCATGTCTCACCAGGCTGCCATTGCTTCTCAGAGGTTCGAGGGCTCAGCCGCTTCAGAGAGCGCACTGGAACAGGCTGCAAAGGAGGAGAGCGGGTAGAGCCCTCCACTCTCCTCTCAGAAGACTTGTGAGCATCTGTGTTGGAGGGATGGAGGTACCTGTCAACTGTCCAACTGTCAAGCAGCTGTTTTATTTGTTAGCTGCTGCAGGTAAAAGGAGAAAGAAGGGAGAACGACATGCAGTATGTGAACAACGAAACAGTATGCATGAGGCATTCAAAGACTGCTGGTCTTGACCTTCCTCATTAATGCTTTTTTTTCTTTACAGGAATCAAACTAACCACCTGTCACCATATTCATTATGTAAGATCTTTGATGTGAAGTTGTTGAATTTCTAAGGCTTCTGTTTGTTCCATTCTAATGCTTGTTGGGGATTAATTGATTTCTCGGCTCTAAATTAAAGTAGCTGCATTGTCATCAAAATGTATTTCCAACATTCCACGGTTAATCAATGCACTCCTAATTTTGTTAGGTCAAGAAATCAGTGATGATATTGCGCTGCTTTATCTTGCTGAGCACACCTTTTGCTTTGGGTTTGAACAGAAAATGGTGGAAATGGAAACTGGAATCTTTTTGTTTTTAAATATTATCCCACACATTTTTTTAAAAAAATCTGTAAATAAGACCAGCTAAATCCTGTTCTCTCATTCCAGCCTGTGTACACTGAGTAGACAGTACACAGTGCCACAGAATGACCTGTCATGTTCATATACTTTACCTCAGCATTCCAGTGGTGTTAGGACAGGTTGTCAAAGTGTTTATATTAAGGTCTAATAGTACAAAGTCTTCTGTATTCTCTTTATTAGAGACTTGAACGTTGTGCCTATGTGTATCGAGCAAATGAAATTCTCCTGCCTCTAACATAATTTTAGTCTTCTAACCAGAAAGATTACTGTAGAACTATCTATCTTTTGCAAAATGCTAATCAACTACTCCTTGTCCCCAAAAGTCAAATAAATTGATGCCAAATGGAAAAACTGCATGTTGTACTGGTTGTGTTGCAGAAAGGAGTGAATGGTTTGATAAGATAAACCTGAAGAGACATGTAGCTCCTCACATGTCAAACAGTCCCAAGTGTTTGGTTCCTAAGTTACACATCTAATACTAATACACAACTTTAGACAGACAATTTGGGTTTTGCACACCAGAATGATCAGGGAAAGTTATGGACAACAGAATGAAGTCAGTTTTGTGGTAAAAGCTGGTGCAGTTTTGAGATTTTACAGTAACCCTTTACTTGCACCCCACCCCCAGCATTTATAAGCACTCTATAAACCTTTAATAAATGGTTTATAACACTACAATGTAGCTGCAAGCACATTTGTATGTGTTAACTTGTTTATAGTATTTCTCAGTGATTCTATCTCCTATGAAGACATGATTACAGCTTTGTTTTCTCGTGTCATTCATTATCTGTTTATACACCAGCATCTGGATGTCTCACAGGATGTTGCAGCTGCTGACAATACATTAATAAACACATCTGTCTACAACAACAACAACATACTGTGTTATAATACCTTTATTCAATGTTTTTATATAGCAAGCTGGTCCTGTATCAGAGGGAGGTCGACATTACATGGGAGCTGTAATTTGACAATATTTATGAACAAGACAAAAAGCACTGCAGTATTGTATACTAGTTGCACTTTGCATATGACGTGACACTAGGTTGCAGTTTCATGATTTTACACATCGTGAGTTGTCATCTGGTCCAAATTGTCACAGTTGCTCTTTGTCCTCCAAACCTAGGACAAAGTCAAACTCCTCTGTAGACAGAAAAACAGACTGAATGTAACTAGTTCACAGTACACATAAAAAAAAAAGGACTGCACATGCTTCTTCACGCACCTGTGGTCAGGGGTTGCACAGAGAGCCTGGCCCTTGTACATAGCATCATGTCCTTTAGCGGCCCTCCCGTGGAGCGATGTTGCAGGTGGTACTTTTTCAGCTCAGACAGAGGAAGAAAACGTTTCATCATTCTTTGATACTGGACATCCACCTACGAAAAAGAGAAGAAATCAAGTTCGTGCTTGATTACCACTCATAACTCTATTTGATGAACACATTCAGGTGTTACTTTGCATTAGCTGTTACTCCTCACTTATTTTACCATGCTCCATTTGGGCTTGTCTGGTTTGCTAGTTGCATCATAATGGACGTCTGTCTCGTCAAACTGAGTGTGGTCCGCATATGCTTTCTTCACAATCTAGAAAAGGAAGCGGAATGTCAGGCAGGTCTGTAGCTTGGTTTTAAATCAGGATCTTTTCAGCAGAGAGAGAGAATGGTTTACTTTAACGACTGCTGCTATCCCCGGTTCCTTGCAGTTGCTGTGGTAAAAGAAAGCCAGCTGCCCTTCTTTCATCTGCCTCATGAAATTGCGTGCCTGCAGATGACATATAATTTAGAGCATCATTCCCTCAGAGAAAATAAAAAAGTGTATTCATTACTTTTGTGAGAAAAGAATCTGCACAAGTCTGGAGATAATAAGAAGAGTCTAAAAGCCTTTTCTCGGTGGGTCTGTGCTGCTTCCTTTTTTTATTCTTTTCATTACATGAGTCGGTTTTGTGACTTTACCTGATAATTGCGGACGCCATCCCAGCAGCTGGTCTGATTAGGCAAAGCCTTCAGGTCCTCAATTCCAAACTGCAGAATGAAGCAAAGCATGAGATGAGCACAGCCCACTCACTTTTTACAACAACAGCAGCTGCTCTGTACCTTTACATCGATCCCCTTCTCAAGGCGGCTCTCAGGCTCAGACTTAATCAGCCAGTGACAGTACTGTGCAGAACCAGGTGATTCTGAGCTGTCCTTTCTGTTTCCAGTCTCAACAGAAGCTGCAGCTTTCCTCTTCCACCCAACTGTTCGCTTCGCAGAAGAGATGGCTTTGTCACTGTCATCTTTTCCTGTGTTGTTGGGGCAGTAATTGTCACTCAGTAGAAAATCTTTCAGACAGTACTGTGGGTTTTACTCTGTGATTTCATCTGTGTACCTGAAGTTGCTGCTGTTGTACTCGCTCTGGCCATTTTCTTTGGTGGCATCTCTTACAGTCTATAAAGAGAGGATGCATCATCCATAATAAGGTTGGATGATTTTAGATTATATCAAATTGTCGATTGTCTACCATAAGAGATTTTTTTCATGTTATCTGTACTGTAGTAGTAGTCCCCCTAAACATGCACCATGTTGGAAATCAAGGAATACACCTTTTTATGGCAACACTGTCTTTTCATGTGATTTTTGCATCAGTGTAAATAATTAACTTCATTCAAGTATTTATTTTGCTGAATTTGCCAAAAACAGACATGACCTGTTTGGTCATTTTATCCATGAACACATTTTCTTTTAGGTTAAAAAAGTGCTATATCACAGACTATAGACTGTTGCTGTAACAATACAACACATACAATATGATAGAGAATGAGATATAGTGCCATAATCCATAAAATGACAAAAATCTTTTGCCACTAGGGTTGCAACTAGTTTAACTTTTTTTTACTATCTGCATTGATAATTACCAATTAATTTCTGAACTAATCAATTATTTTGTCTATAAAATGCCCAAAAAAGTATAAGAAGTAAAAGAATAATGTTCACTGCAGTTTCACGTAATGTCTTAGGATTTCTTGTTTTGTTTGACCAACAGTCTGCAACCATCCATATCCAGTTTACAAATATTCACCAGGAAGTTATTTTCACAACAAAGTTGTGTTGTATTTTCTTTAAAATAGTATTCAAAACAATCAGGCAGTAGATTATTCACATAGTTTCTAGATAATATTCTGTTGATGGACTAATTGTTGCAGCTCTGACACTCAACGCCAATTGTGATAATGAAAGCATCGCATCCTTTCCTGTGAGCATCATGGCATAGATTAACTAACGTTAGAGCTTTACCAACTTTACACACACCTGAGGCCCGTATTAAAGTAAACGTACGTTACACGGTTTGCTAATAACGTTAGTACAGATGACAAAGCAGCCCGGTTTAATTGAAACCTGTATAAACACTGGTTAGTCGTACCTCTAGATAGACGGGTTTGGCATAAGCTGTCATACATCAAAATCCGTTGAAAAAACACGTGGGCAACAGCTACTTCCGTTTGAGACAGCAGGCTATAGAACTACATTTCCCAGCAACACCAGCATCAGCGATACAACTCAACACTGTAGAGGTAAACATGGCGGCAATCAGACCTCTAACAAGAATCGCAAGACTGTGTTCCAGCGTGTGCAGAAACTATTATTTAATATCGAACAGAATCTCACAAAGACGGGGAATTGCTTCATGTATCGACCGTAAGTCCTAAAAACGAGAACTTTTAGCTTTAGTTTATGAGACAAAATCTGAATAAGCACCGGGTGATCATAACAAACATATGTCACTTTAGCTAGTTAGCTAACATGTTAATTTTTGCGTTTTATAGCTATGTGGTGGCCAAACCATCTTTTGAGACTAGAATAAGTGAGGACATGCAGTTCTTTAATGGAAAATTTACCTATAGTTAGCTGTCACTGGTTAGTTTTGTTCCTTCGGTCATAAGGCAGAGGGAGCTACACACACCTGCTTAACCTCGACCCTCCCCCCGGGCAGCTACTGTTATCTTCCCAAACCTAAATGTCATCATCTAATACTTTAATGTATTTTTGTGAGAATGGAGGCTTTTCTCCATGTCTCCAACCTCGCAACTGCTCTTCTTCTTCTTCTGTAGAGCAGTTTGGACGCAGCAAAGGCGTATTGCTGCTTTCCTCAGTTTGAAGGTCTTCATGGTCATATTCTTGCAACAGCTCTGGTTAGCACTTACATTCAGTGTCCTGGAGCTGCTAATTAGCTGTAGCAGCTGGCAACTTGTTACCTTTCACAAGATCACCATGACAGTTCTTGTGAAGAGAAATAGTGTCTTATTTCATGCACCCAAACTTATTTTAAAGTTCTTAACTATGCATGACATTGTAATATTTCAGTCATATGAATTTAAGTTTTTATTCTTTACTTATATGTATCACTATTGCATTGATAACTGTTAAAACTGCTTAGTATTTCCTGTTTGTCTGTTAAAGAATGTGTATGCAGGATGTCTGCACTTTGAAGTTGACCAAATGTCCAGTATTTACTGTTTGTTTGTTAGGGTTTTTGTAGACAGGATGTCTGCCCTTTGAAGATGACCATATGTTCATGTTTTTGTTAGATACCACCTGAGTTACAACACTCACATCACCATTTGATTAGCATATTTAGTAAGCTGACGTGAGCAGAGGATGCCCTGCTCACGCCTATGGCCAATAGCATTAGGATACGTGTAAGTCCAACCTCTGTCCGGGGCGGTTCCTGCCCATGAAGATAAATGGAACTACAGACAATAGTCCAGCACTCTTAGATGACGGGATTCCTGCGGAAGCTCCGTTTCTCTGAGCCCAGCGCTGTATGACTTTACATGTGACCAGACTTTGATTACATTTTCTGTTGATTTCATACAGTCCTCTTCTGTCTTCACTTCTCGTGCTTTCAACTAAAGAACTGGGTCTAACAACATAACTCTGCTCTATTGCCATCCAAAGATATTCACAAGAAATCTGAGTGCATCGACTTTACCATGATTTATGCTCCAGCAAGAGTGTGTTATTTCATCCATAGTGCTCTGTATGTTCTCTGCATGTTGTTGACAGCTGCCCTTGGACTCACAGATGAACAGAAGGAGTTCCAGAAGGTGGCCTTTGACTTTGCAGCCAATGAAATGGCTCCACACATGGCAGAGTGGGACCAAAAGGTAATATGTTATAGCAAGGCATACTGTATAGGAAAATGTAAAGGCAGCAGGCTTAAGACAATAATATGTCCATTTTTGGTAATGAATCACATGGTTAGAGATGTTGTTCTTCTGTAAGAATAAGAATACTTTCTAACATAGTGAGCAGCGGTAGAAGAAGGACTGCTCCTATTAAGATGACTGAAATCACACACCCCAAAACTGAGTGATCATTCCTATTATTTAGACATTATTGTAGAGTAGCAGGTACTCATGCATCCACATGAGTCCTTACTGGGCTGTGTTTCTTTGCCAGTATCTCAGAATGCCATTTTTATAATTTATTGCTATACTTGCTAGAACCTAACTAATAAATTGGCCAGGCTGTTAGACTGGCAAATATTAGCTTAGTGCAGATATACCGGTGTTAGTGTATATGTCAGCCCATAAGTACTTGCAGTACAGAAATAACAAACTAGGTCTGAGCTCATATAGAAAATACAGTATATTGCCAAAAGCATTCACTCACCCATCCAAATCATTGAATTCAGGTGTTCCAACCACTTCCATGGTTACAGGTGTATATAATCAAGCACCTAGGCATGCAGACTGCTTCTACAAACATTTGTGAAAGAATGGGTCACTCTCAGGAGCTCAGTGAACTCCAGGGTGGTACCATGATAGGATGCCACCTGTGCAATAAGTCCAGTCGTGACATTTCCTCACTACCAAATATTCCATAGTCAAAGTTGAAGTGATTGGGAATGACAGCAACTCAGCCATGAAGTGGTAGGCCACAAAATCACAGAGTGGGGTCAGTGGATGCTGAGATGCATAGTGCACAGGGGTCGCCAACTTTCTGCAGAGTCAATAGCTACAGACCTCCAAACTTCATGTGGCCTTCAGATTAGCTCAAGAACAGTGTGTAGAGAGCTTCATGGAATGGGGTTCCACGGTCGAGCAGCTGCATCCAAGCCTTACATCACCAAGTGCAATGCAAAGCG